AAAATACACAAAGAACTCTTAAATTCAGCAATAAGAACAACAATCCAATTTTAAAAAGGACAAAAGATCTGAACAGACCTCTCGCCAAAGAAGATATACAGATGGCAAATAAGCATATGAAAAGATGTTCCTTATCCCATGTCATCAGGAAAACACAAATTAAAACTACAATGAGATACCACTACACACCTATTAGAATGCCCCAAATCCAAAACACTTAAAACACCAAATGCTGATGAAGATGTGTAGCAATACAAATTCTCATTCATTGCTGGTAGGTTGGAAAACAGTACAGCCAGTTGGAAGACAATTTAGCTGTAAAAACAAGTTCCTTATAAAGCTAACAACTGTCTTACTATCTAGCTTACCAGCAACTATGCTCCTTGGTATATACCCAAACTGCACATGAATGTTTATAGCAGAGCTACTCATAACTGCTCAAACTTGGAAGCAACCAAGATGTCCTTCAGCAGGTACTCAAATAAAGTGTGATATATCCAGACAATGGAATTTTACTTGATGTTAAAAAAAAAAAAAACAACTTTTAAGCTGTGAAAAAATATGGAGGAAACTTTAAAGCATATTGCTAAGTAAAAGAAGCCAATATGAAAGAGCTACCTCCTGTGTAATTCCAACTATATGACTTCCGGAAAAGGCAAAGCTATGGAGACAATAAAGATCAGTGATTGCCTGGGGCTGGGGGCATTAGGGGAGGCAGTCATGAATAGCCAGGACACAGAGAATTTTTAGGGCAGGGAAACTGTATGACACCATAATGGTGGACATAGGTCATTATACATCTGTCAAAGCTCATAGAATATACAGTACCAAGCTTAAAGCCTAATGTAGACTATGAACTGTGAATGACAATGATATGTCACTGTAGTTTCATTGATTTTAACAAATATACAACTCTAGTGTGGAATGTTGATAGTGGGGGAGGCTGTGCATATTTGGAAGAGAGGGTATAAGGAAAGTCTTTATACTTCTTGCTCAATATTGTTATAAACCTAAACTATTCTAAAAAATGACTGATTAAAAAAATGTCATGGGCCATTATAACTATGACACTGCAAGTGTCTACCCATTTCTTTCCAGCTAAAGTAGACGGCACAGCTGGCAATCAAAACATGATTTACATGAAGTTAAAGGATACAGTAACATTTTAAAACCAGCTACCATTACTTGCATTATTTATTCATCAGGTGCTGTATAATTGCATAATTGTGCTGAATAAAGAAAAATGTGTTCTCTTTATTGAAGAACTTATAGCCCAAAGATAGAATGGAAATTTAGAAACAACTTTAATTTCTTAGGATCAACAAAAGGAGGCATTTTAATGGAAGGAGCTGAGTCCAAAAGACACTTACATTGATAAGACTTCTTACTCAATATTTAGGTTTATGGTTCTTTTTTTTTTTTTTAAGATTTTTATTTATTTATTTGACAGAGAGAGACACAGAGGGAGAGGGAACACAAGCAGGGGGAGTGGGAGAGGGAGAAGCACACTTTCCATCTAGCAGGGAGCTCTATGTGGGGCTGGATCTCAGGACCCTGGGATCATGACCTGAGCTGAAGGCAGAGGCTTAACAACTGAGCCACCCAGGTGCCCCTAGGTTTATGGTTCTTATAAATTTTTTAAGATTTTATTTATTTATTTGACAGATAGAGATCACAAGTAGGCAGAGAGGCAGGCAGAGAGAGAGAGGAGGAAGCAGACTCCCTGCTGAGCAGAGAGCCCGATGTGGGGCTCGATCCCAGGGTCCTGGGATCG